CCAGAAAACATGGGAACAATAGGTGTAAGTTAGACAAGATTAAATCTTGTCTGATTCTGAAACAGAGGGGTGCGTCATATTGGAAATATGTTTGTCTAGTCCCACCCAGGCATCCCACAAGAGAACCAGGATGTGGGTCGAGGCCATGTGTTTTAAGTAAAGAAGAGAAAGAGGGGAGTGTCAGGATGAAGGGAACAGGGGAAGATGTTCTGAGAACATATACTAGAAGACAGCAGAGTGTCTGTTTTTATCCCAAAGTACAAAATGAAGAGAATTACAATATATTGGTTATTACAACTTTGATCCTAAGTTGAATTCATGGGCCTGGCATTTGCTGTCATAGTCCTCTTTTCTTTGTTTTGAATCCCATGTCCTTGGGCGCTGTGTGGGGTAGGCCCCTAATGTTTTGACAAGATGCAGATTCTTGTCTACTCTGAGAAATCCTTTTGAACTGAAGTTTCATATTCTAGAAACAGATGAATGTTATTGGCACTTGGTGAATTATTTGGAATCCTGAGTTAAGAAGGATGGAAATTGGGGAGTTAATAAGGACTTGATCTTCAGCAGTTTTGAGCTCTGCTCTTTAATGACCCGAGTAGGCTGGCAGGGAAAGTCTGGGGAGTGTCCATTTAGTTGTCCCATACTTTTCAGAAACTTGTTATTTTCAAATTATCTGAGACTTGGAATGAGTTACAAAAGAATCAGTTCAGAGTGGCCTTACCCTGGATCTAGTTTCCTCCCACTGATAATATTTTAGTCTGTTTTCAGCCATCAAAGCCATAGTGTACTTTGAGCCATTTTCGAAACTGAACTCTAGGCTTGCCTTGGATTTCACCAGTTTTCTTGCCTGGTGCTCAGTTGCTCACTGGACATCATCTCTGTTGGTTTGTAACCTGGCCTTGGTGGCATACAACAGGAAGGACTCTGGATATTATTCTACAAACATTGAGGGAAAACAGCAAATTGACAAGCTCCTTTACCAGTGAACAATAGCCCACCTATTTGCTGAATCCACTTTCAATTAAAGCTCATCATTGTTGGACCCAGAATGGCCATAGCCTTACACACCCATCATTTGTAAAGATTTAGTTCCTCAGTGTGACACCCCAAACAATCCAAGAACAACTTAAGAAGAGTAACAACATAAAAGGCTTTTAGGCAGAAGGACATCTAAACAGAAGAATGGAACTTTTGTTGATGACAAGAGGGCTTGGGTAAACCAGTACTTTGATTAAGAATTCAAATGGTACTTAATAGGAGGAGGGATAGTTTTCGGATAGAATATAACACAAATGTAAACCCCTAATGTGAGATAAAACACTCTTTTCAGAGTAGCAGAGAAGTCTCATTTGCTTAAATGTTCTTCTGTAATTGTAATAACAACTGCTAAAGCAAATGCAAATACAACAGCTTCCTGGGAAAAAAGTTGAAACTTCTAGTTTCATGGATCATGACTTTGGGTTTTCTGTTGGACATTTTTAAGCTGCCCTGCTTAAGGGCTACATGATAATAACTGTCTGTGGCTTATGAAGCCCCTAGCCCACAAGTGAATATTTTGTGAATTTTATGTTTTCAATAAATAAAGTATGGAAAATTGTTATATATCACAAGTGTGAATTTTGGGAGAAGTACTTTGTTAGAACCTAGAGGGCTTCTTTTCAATTAAAAAGAAAAAGGAAAAAGTGTCCTACAAGCAGTGGATACCCGAGCATCTTTGTGATGGTGAAACTAATTCAGACAGCCATGCACAGTATTTCTCACAGGACACTGGATCAAAGGCAGAGAGCACACTCTGGTCCCAAATCTAACTCTTCAGAAACCAGTTGTTTAGTTTCTTCTACACAGCATGCCAGTACAGGTTTTATAGGAGAACAGATGTAAGTTCCAGGGCTGATCTGCAATCACAACTGATATCATGAAAACATTTGTCAATGGAAAGCATAGGCAACTATTATTAGTGCAAATGTGTTTCCTTAAAAAAGAGACTTGGATAGCGGGGAAAGTTGGGAGCATCCCTGCAAACACACGGGAGTTTGTAATCTATATTATTCACCCGAATCATTCTTTGTTATTCAAGGATTTACCTTTTCTAGCCCAATGTCTGGTAACTGTTCCTGAGGACTAACTTTCTGCAGCAATATGGTGGCCTCTTCTAGGATGAGGCGACATCTGGGCTTTATTGGATAGGCTGTGGTGGATAATGTGTCTTGTTGAGGGCTAAGCAGCAAGTGGATTTAATTTCTGCTTAAAGCTATCACAGCCACCCTAAAATAGAATACATAAAAATCCTCTGTATTAGAAAAAGGGGCAAAACATGATGCCAATTGTGTATTTTCTTTTCTTTATTTATTCTCTGTAAGTCTGTTGGATGATAAATTGTAAATAACAGTGATTAAAGAGTCATGCTACTGATGGAGCCTCCTTTTTGTCTAAGCAGTAACGGTTCTGGTGGCCTCTGTTATCCTTCCTCCTTACAGTGTTTGTGGAGAAGTGATGAGACACAGGGAAAGAGCTACAGGGGCATGCAGCCTGGACATGTTTATTAGGGCTATCCAACCGGGGGCGGGGTGTGTGTGTGTGAACAGGCTTCTGTTTGATATTAGTTCAAGGCTAACTAACAAGGCTATGTCTGAGACATATCCAAACACAGTAGAAACTATGATTTTATATTTTTGCACTATTGTGCCTATCTGGGAACCTGAGCCCAGCATTTCCACTGTTATCTGGAGAGCCTTTATTGTTATTGCTATGGAGGTTTTGCTTGTTTGTTTTGAAAGAGAAACCTTTGCTAAATTCAAATATGGTCTGTCTCAGTTAGCTGATCACACAAGCATAAACCAACAAAACTGTATATAACTGGAATCCACATTCAGACTTCACAATAGATTAAGGTGGAGTGATCCCAAACACATTTTACGTCAACCTACAGAATGGGTTTCTGAGTACCATGAACACACTTCTTCCAGCGCTTGTCACAGTAGATAAGAGAATGGATCTAAATGCCCCAAAAATAGACTATTCATGATTGCTTTGTCTCTACAATGTCTGGGGTTTCAAGACCCAAGATCAGGATTTAAATAACCTGAGTGATGGTATTGGGATGAAAGAAAAGGAAGCAAGGGGTTTGGAGATGTCAACACCTATTGCCAAGGGTTAACAGAAGATGGAAGTGATGATTTGCATCCGTCTATACACAAACATACAGACAAGCTATTCATATACAATACATATACAATATATACATATACAACATATTAATATATTCATGAATATATATTTATTCTAATACATAGGTTGTTAATGAGGATGGAAATTATGTCTACTTAATTTTTCATTAAGCAACTTGCAAGGACTTGGTTAAGTTGCAGAGAACAAGAACACTATTTTTCATTTATAGTTTTATATTTATTTCCCATCTGAAGAAGAAGTGGCCACATATCTGTAAATTGTATTTTCCTGGAGTCCTTGGATCCTGCACAGGTTAACACATGACTGTTTACCATCAATGAATTGGGTAAAATCCTGAGTTAGTTTTGGGCCAGACTGAATGCATTATTTCCAGGGAAGAGGGGTGAAAAATATAAACAAGAGAAGCTGTACAGCCCCAACTAATAGTTGTTTTCTAGTCCTGTTTGAACATCAGAGACTGTCAATTCTGGGAATGTTTATAAGGATTAAGAATGGAGCTTTGTTATTGGAGCAAAAGATACTTCACTCATCCTTATCTACTGTACGATAAAAAGAGCCAGAGATCAGTGCCAGAGCTTAGGGTAGAGACACATTTATTATATGGGGCCTAAATAATGGTAGAGTTGGTACACCCATATACCAAGGCTTGTCAGTGATGAGTAGACTCACTGTGTACCATACTGTTCTGGTACCCAACAGAAGTCTCTGAACAATACAAACCCAAGATGAGAAGTTTGGAGTGATAATAAAACAAAAACAACCCACTCAGCTATGGATTAAAATCTATTTCAATTGGTTTTGGGTTGTGTCCTCCCTATGACATTTTTTTAAAAATAAAACATTCTAGTCTAACAGTCCAGTCCTTCCCTTGAAGGGAACCTCAAGGGAAGATACCATCTTTGAAGAACTGATCAAAAATCCATTTTAACTTTTAGGAGTTAGTTGGTACCATTAATCAAAGCATCAAGATCAAAACCCAGAAAAGATGATCTCAATCATTTAAGATCACTGTGATTCACAGTCATTACAGTTTTGAAAGAGTCATGATGTTTGTTCAGTTGTACTATGTATAACTATTAGTACCTTTACCCAATGTTACTCGGGACTTTTAACCATCTATAAATAGCGAAAGCTAGAATAAGGATTATAAGAGCTGTGCAAGGTGATTTTATAGGACTTGAACTTAATAAAAATCGAGGGTTGTAATTTGAACGCATTTGCCTTTCCCTCCCTCATTACCTAGCTTCCTCCCCACCGCACCCCCCTCCAAAATACTCATCTGGGATGGCTTGGCGACAAAAAAAAAAAAAAAAAAAAAAAAAAAAAAAAAAAAAAAGCCCTTTACAGAAGCCTGACAGGCACCGAAGGCGATGACACACATTCCTTTTAGAGTTCTGAAATTCTCATTTCCGTTCCACATTCAGAGCTTGGAAACTACTAATTTACCCGTGGCTCTACATAAGTAAAGCACAATAAAAATCCACGTTCCTTTTCTCAAAGATTATGCCTGAAAGAAGGATCGGAAGATGGAGCTACACTTTCTAAGAAGTAACCTTGGGCTTGGGTTCCTTCACCCAACCCTCTGCCAGCGTCCCACTGAAGCTTCCAGCTCCGCCCACCGAGCGGCTCGCCTCACCCTAAACGAAGACCCCGCCCCGCGGCGACACCTCCGGCAAACTGGGGGCGAGGACTGCCGTGATTGGCTAGGACCTCTGTGTCACGCGGCCCCGCCCCTCGGCCTATCTCACTCCACCCGGCCCCGGCGTGGAGAGAGGAAGCCGGGCTGCAATTGGCTAGCCTAGAGGATGACGTAAGGAGAGGCGGGGCCTGGTCGAGCCTTGATTGGTCCTGGTGCGCAAGGGCGCGGATCGTGGTGCCGGCTGCGAGCTGCTGTGGTCGCTGGGGCAGATTAGCTCTGCTGCGCGTTGTGCAAGATGAGAAAGGTGGCTTTGATCACCGGGGCGAGCAGGTGAGGCCTCCTACGGAACCCCGGAGGCTAAGTTTCGGGGTGCGGGGGGACATTGGTCGGTGACCCTGGACTCTCTTCGGTGGGGATTCGGCAGAGACCCTGCTCTGGCCTTCTCTGGGCCTCCCAAGAGGCGTGGTCATGCTTCTCTCTCTGGGGGCTTGGTATCAGTGCTTTGAATTAAACATGACAGTGGAAAGGAAAACTAGAGCGCCAGTTACCGATCAGCCTGCTGTGCTCTCAAGGGACCTGACGGGTCCATTCAGACTCCGCCATTCCCCATCAGTGACAAGTCTCCAGTAGTTACTGTAGGTGCCCACAGTTCACTTTAACCCTAAACACGCGGTGTCTTACACCCCGTGTTTGAATGTCATCATCCATGAATTTTAGGAGAACGGGGGAGATTGCATTTCTGCAGCACACTTTCTCATACATTCCCAGGAACATATAGAACGACCAGTCGCCTCCTGTTAAGGCTTGTCCTAATGCAGTCACCAGTTCATAGACTTTCCAGGCTTGCTCAGTTGACCTTTGGCCTACTTTAGTGCCTTCTAGATTTCTTATTTGTTCACGAAGAATGTGCGGAGGGTGAAAACCGTCCAGAACCTTACCCCAGCTGGTTACATTGATATTTTTGGGAAATTAATACTGATCTAACCATGTCCATATTAACTAAGCCAGTATAGGAGGGGTCTTGTCTTGGGCTTTTTGTTAGCGTGCCCTTTCTTTGAGGTCAATTGGTTTTGGTGGTTCTTATGTGGAAGGTGCATCTAGAAGACAGGCCCTTGTTTTTCTTGTGTTTCTTTGATATACATTGTGGTATGTGCAATTGTGTGTTTATACCAAAGTTCTTCTATTTTGAAGTAAGGATGATTAGGCCCGTATATGTCTGATACTCCTAACAGGGCCACCAAATTATATGAGTTCCAGACTCACTTGGGGTCCCTATTTGCTGGCAGTCTGTCTGCATGTGAATTTGCTAGTACCCAGGATGTCATTGCTACCAGCAACTGGCCCCATCTGCTGGGCACTTTCATATTGCTCTTTCTGACCTAGTGTATCTGAAGCCTCAGTGAACTTAACTGTGCTCAACCCTCCTTCTCTGTCTTCCTCTCCATCTGATTGAATTCCTACTTTCTGTCCACTTGTACTGAGGACTTTTTCTTTTTCTTGGTTATCCTGCTGTGATTTAGTAGTTGACAGGGATTTAACCTCTGCCTTGCTACTATGCTTTCTTCTGGGGGGCAGGGGGAGCAGCACAAAAGCTCCTGTTCACTTTTTAGGATTTACAATACCAAGAAAAGGTAGAACACTTGGCTTTGAGGGACCCAGACAGCACAAGAAAATGGGGACATAATAAACAGCTATTATGATCCTCTTGACAGCATTGCTGGGGATGTATTAAATTACAACATAACAGGTACACTGAACTCTACCCTGTGTCATTGAACTATTTTAGAGGGGAGCAACTAGATGTGAGTCTAATCAAATGACTTATGGGGGCGGAATTTCATCCTTCACATAATATTTGGGTGTTTTTCTGTCTGCCTGGGCTTCTCATTGGAGTGCATGTTGACACAATCAAGTTTCTGAACCAGAGAGAAAAGCCTCAATTTAGGACCATGTCGATGAACTCATGTCCTGTGCCTGAATTGTCTTCTCAGTGGCATTGGGCTGGCCCTTTGCAATCGGCTGCTGGAAGAAGATGACGAGCTTCACCTGTGTTTGGCGTGTAGGAACCTGAGCAAAGCAGAAGCTGTTCGTGATGCCCTGCTGGCCTCTCACCCCTCTGCCGAAGTCACCATTGTGCAGATGGATGTCAGCAGCCTGCGGTCCGTGGTCCAGGGTGCAAAGGAAGTCAAACAAAAGTAGGTCTCCTTTTGACAGATTGCTTTCTCGTATGGTAGTGCAGTATAAATGTAATCAAATGAGAAAGGACAGGGAAATATGGAAAGGTAATGGGTGTCCTGTAAAATGAGTTGTGCTGAGGGAATCTACAGAATGACCTTGGAGCCCAGAGAGCTCGGAAGTACCTTTTCCAGCTGGCAAAAGCTCACTATGTCTGGTACCAGGTCTTTCTACCTACAGTATTCTGTTCGGTTGGAACTCACAAGAAATATTGATGCTGTTTTTTATCTAGATAGAGACACTATGTCAGTCCTTTCATCTTTGAATACATTAATTATATGGTTTGATTGAAGCCAGAGCTTCATTTCCACATTTTACTAAGCATTGCTTCTTCATGCCTAGCAAAATAAGTTGCTGTAACTAAAATTTGTAAATTAGATAATAGAATAATTAATCTGAGGTCCCACTGGCTTCACTTGCATGATGAATGGTAGTTATAGTGGCAACAATGTTATTACTTTAAATAGTCATTTGAATAATTTGGACCATAAGGTTACCATATAGTATGATTAAGAAATGGTGGTGCATAATCCATATTGTCAGGCAAGTATACATCTCAAGGTCCAGTTTTATTGGCTGTGGATCTGTCCTGGGTTACGTAGAGGCCACAATATGGTGCTTAGTATTCTGGGAGATAGTCTCAGCATGGATGTTGCCTGGGTATGGTGGGAGCACATACTGCCTGCTTTGATCCTACTTCCAAAGGGCTATATTTCTGTTAAGGCTTATGAAATTTCAAAACTGAAAAAGCTCACTCAAGGCTCCATTTCTCAGGTCCTCCATGACATGTATTCTGGAGCAAGCCCACTGAGAATACCTAATCTCCATAGGGCATTTATAGTTTCAGGGTATGAGAGTGACCATTAATCAGTTTATGATACATAGCTCCTGGCCGTGGACACTGAGTGGTTTCCACTTGGGTCTTCTATTTTGGTAGATATAAGACCATCCAGATTCCAGCACTGATAGGTCAAGTCAAGCCTGCTATACATTATGTAAATTTAACTTGTCAACTATGGAAGATATGAACTGGTAAAAAGCGCAGTAACTTTGTAAGAGGAGGAGGAGGAAGACGGGGAGGGTGGGTTTGTAGAAGGTTTTTCAGTGCCTGAAGGGTGGGCCACAGTTGGATGGTGATTTAACTTGGAAGCCCACCAAAATCACCCAGAGCAAAGATACTCATTGTGGTTAGAGAAACTCTTGAGTAAGAGCTGTGTTAACCCTAATGTCACATAGCCTGGTTTGGAAAGGGTTTTTCTGTCCTTGGACCTTCTATATTCGAGAGATGGAGTGCAGTTTTGTGTCATCTTTTCTAATAATGTCATTTTGGCATTTTGCTTACAGGTTTCAAAGATTAGACTACTTATATCTGAATGCTGGGATCATGCCTAATCCCCAGCTAAATATCAAAGCATTTTTCTTTGGCATCTTTTCAAGGTAATTTTTATGTTCTAGACCAGTGGTTTTCAACCTGTGGGTCATGACCCATGGCGGGGGTGGGGGTGGGGCTCCAATGACCCTTTCAGAGGGGTTGCATACCAGATAGCCTGAATATCAGATATTTACATTATGATTCATAACAGTCAGTAGCAATGAGAATAATTTATGGTGGGGGGGTCACCACAACATGAGGAACTGTATTAAAGGGTCGCAGCGTTAGGAAGGTTGAGAACCCACTGTGTTAGATGAACTGATTGCAGGGAAGACATTCATTTTGCTGCCACAGTTTTTGGTTTTGGTATCTATGTTGAGGGAGGGGATGCTGAGGAGGATGAAGTTACATAGAAAGGAAGAGTTGGTACCATAGTAGGCAAGTCAAGTACTCATCTTTGTGGCGAATAGTGCATGTTGTCATGGTTTTTATAATGTTCTTAGTCTCTGGAACATTCCATATTATGAGATGGTTCATGTCATCAGCTTTTGGTCTGGCTGAATGCGCTACTGGCGGAACCTTTCTGGATAAGCGACATTCTTAGAGAGCCTCCAGCACCTAGCAGGCTGCCTAGCGATGTGTCAGCTGTGCCGACCAGTAGGCCGAGGGGATGCAGAGAACCAGTGTCTGCCTGAGAGACTCTCATTACGCACGAGTCTAGTGGAGTGGCTATCAAAGCTGCCTAACCGAGATCCATAGTTAGAAATAAGTATTGTTTACAACCCAATACATTTATTTGTAGAGTTTTTTGATGTGGGCTACATAGTCACTTTCTCTTTATATTTCTTCCATGAAAACGAAACATGCACAAATTCCATTACTGAGCTGATCTCATAGCAAGACACTCTGTTAATTTGTATGATGTTCTCAGACTTCTAGCAAAAAAGACGACCTGACTAACTTGTTTTCAGTAATTAAACACACTTGACATGGGTGAAGAATTTTTCTCTTTGGCATAGCTGTGATTGCCTGATAGTTTACATGTAATCTGATGGGGTAGTGGGAAGAGGAAAGCATGTTAAGTGTACCTGTGAACTGGGGGAAAGAAGCATTTAGTAACTCATTTAATACCCACACGTGTCCAAGAAATTGGTATTTTGTCATTAAGATTCAAAGAAGGTGTGTGTGTGTGTGTGTGTGTGTGTGTGTGTGTGTGTGTGTATGTGTGTATGTGTGTGTGTGTGTGTGTGTGTGTGTATGCATGTGTGAGTAACATCTTTAGTATTTTCAGTTAAAAGAGCTTTAAAAGTCACACTGCTGTCTTCTGCTGTTTCAGAAATGTGATTCATATGTTCTCCACAGCGGAAGGACTGTTGACCCAGAATGACAAGGTCACTGCTGATGGGTTCCAGGAGGTGTTTGAAACCAATCTCTTTGGCCACTTTATCCTGGTAAAAAGGCTTGGGTCATACTAATTCCATACTTATTACTGGGATCCTAAGGGCATGCATGGATACAGGACTGTTTTGTGAAGCTCCTTAGTTTATGGTTAACGTTAAATCTTAGAGAATGTAAATATGTTCACTGGCCTCTGGAAATGTGGCTTACCCAGATAATGGAGGAAGTGGATTACTTTAGAAACAGCATACATACCAGCAAAGTATCACATCAGTTCTGTTCTAAGTAGTTCTACAAACTGGGCTTGACATCAGATAGCCTGGGAGAGTAAGCATACTGTTATCAGACACTGATATAGAGTTGACTTTTCATTATCATGGTCTCTTCTTAAGTGTCCATACTTGGAAGTACAATTCTAGGCACATATGGCAGATTCAGCATGAGATGTGTGCCTTACTTAGTGTGTTCTGTGATGTTGCCTCCAGCTCATGCTTATGGGACAGCTTCCACAGTAACTGACAAGTGATGGCCCACACCTACATCCAACACTTAGGCTGAGACAGGAAGATTGCTGCGAGTGAGAGCCTGGCCCAGAATGATGGCAGCAATAGAGTTTATGACCTTTCCATGTTAACCTTGATCACGTGGCTTGAGGTGGCTTGTCAGGGTTCCCCACTGTGAAGTCAGGCTCCCTTCTCCATACTGAGTGTTCAGAAGAAAGTTCTTGTGTGTAACCCACACACAAGGAGTTGGACTTCAACTTCTTAAAGATGGGTTATCTATAGAAATTGTTTGGAATTTTTCTTTCAGGAAAATTTCTCTCTTCCATTTTTTAAAAATTCAATTAATTTTGTAATTATTTAGACTTGTGGTTATATGTTTTCTACATCAAAGTTTTTCATTTAAGAGTGATATTTCTCAGCCGAGTGTTGGTAATGCATGCAGTACTCAGGAGGCAGAGGCAGGCAGATCTCTGTGAGTTTGAGGCCAGCCTGATCAACAGAGCGAGTTCCATGACAGCCAGGGTTACACAGAGAAACCCTGTCTCAAAAACAAAACAAAATAAAACCCCCAAAACAAACAAGGCAAACAAAAAAGGTATTTCTCTTCTCTTTAGTTTTTGTAACGTATACTACTTATTAAATATGGCATAGAATGGTGTTTAGATGTATTTATATGAGTATCCCTACAATTTTTTCTTGTTTTTTGTCTTTCATTTTTATTTTTATTTTATTTTATTTTATTTTTGGTTTTTCGAGACAGGGTTTCTCTGTGTAACTTTGGAGCCTATCCTGGCACTCACTCTGGAGAGCAGGCTGGCCTCGAACTCACAGAGATCTGCCTGCCTCTGCCTCCCGAGTGCTGGGATTAAAGGCGTGCACCACCAACCCTTGGCCATCTTTCATTTTTATTATGTAAGCCAAGATGAACTGTTATCAGAAATGAAGTGCTGGTGCTTGTTGCTTCTGAGATGCCAATAACTCTAGGCCCTCTCCGCTAATGAACCAAGGAGATAAATGTGTGGACTAACTGCTGGGTGTATGCATCTCCACCCATGTATGTAGACAGTCCAACATGAGAAAATACGATGTCTCTAATCCTGTAAACCTTTTAGCTTCTTCCTCTTGCGACAATATTCTCATCCTTTTTGCCATATTCTCATCCATTTACTTCCTGAATTCAAGTATACACTGTTACTTGAATTGTTAGCATATATCCTTCAGTGGATTGTGATATCTTTTATTCTGTGTCTTCCTCACTCAGATCCGGGAATTGGAACCTCTTCTCTGCCACAGTGACAACCCCTCTCAGCTCATCTGGACCTCCTCTCGAAATGCAAAGAAATCTAACTTCAGTCTTGAGGACATCCAACACACCAAAGGCCAGGAACCCTACAGCTCTTCCAAATACGCTACCGACCTTCTGAACGTGGCTTTGAACAGGAATTTCAACCAGAAGGCAAGGCCTGTGTCAGAGATCCAGAAGTTAACTAACCATCAGAGTCACTGTTTCTAGAGCATGGCTGGCTTCCACTAACTATCGTGACAAAAGCCTTAGGGGGGAGAGAGAAACAGCTCCTGTCCTTTTAGCAATATGCAGTTTACTTACCGTTCTGCGTTCTTTAGGAACTCTGACCTCTGCTAACAGAACAGCCGCTAAGTGTTTCTGGTGCTGTACTCTCCTCCTGTGATGTCATTTAATGTCTTCCCCACTGCGGTTGAGTGGCTTTCACTATTCCAGATTTCAGATGAGAATATTCAAGTTTGGAGAAGTGGGGTCATGTATCCAAAGGTCACACATGACTTGTGAATGGCAGACGTTACAGTGGAGTGCAAGGCTGACTGACTTTTCCCTACTAAGCCTCATGCCTTTTAGCCTCTGTCATGACAATGACTCAAAGGCAACCAGATGTTATAAACCTTCTGGAAGGTGATGATAAGACTCTGTAGCTCTGTTTCTGTGAGGCTACAGATTATATAAAGGGGGAAATAACATTTATTTTTCATACTGGCTCCTATTGACCACGGTCGCCTGGAATTAAGGCTGGTTGTATTAACTCATTGCCCAGGTCCAAGATCTTAACAGGAATTCCTGTCTTTCCCTTGGACTTTTTCTGGTTGTCATTACAGTTTGGGGATTTTTTCTGGTTGCCATTACAGCTTGGAGTCAGTGTGTTGATCCAACCATGAGTTTCCTTATAACATTTTTGGGATCTTTAAATCCAAGTCCTGTCGACACTCCCTTTTTAGAAGGCAGGGCCAAGCTAAAAAATGTTCCATGTTTCATAAAAAGCTCTGGGATTTTATTTACATTTTAGTTGTCAAGTAAGGTATGGATTTTATCTTTTTAAATGGAGAATGAGAGTGATTAAGCTGATGCGGCTCTGTCTTAATGTCTGTCAGAATTTTTTTTCAGCCTACGATTTTTCTTTCTTGGCATTCCCAAGAAAGAAGAAAAGAAATGCCAAGAAAGAAAAAAGCTTAGAAAGAATTACACTGGGTGGTCCCATTTGAAGCCTTTTCTAATGATATTTTCCATATTTTTGGTTTACTTTTTCAACAAATTACTTTTTTTTTTTTTTTGTGCTTCGGATCAAACCTGGGGCTTTGTACTTGGTGCTGTACCACTTGAGCAATGACCTCAGTTCTCCAGTGATGGGTTTCTGTCTTTTCTCTGTATCTCTGTCTCTTTAGCATCTCGTATAACCCAGGCTGGCCTCTAACTTGGTATATAACTGATGGTGGTGCACACTACCACACCTGATTTTACACATGATAGGCAAGTACTCTGTCAACTGAGCTACACCCTAGAGCAACCTAGCTCCTGTGTTTTGAGACAGGGTGTCACTATGTAACTTTGACTGTCCTTGGACTGTTATGTAGTTTAGGTGAGCCTCAAATTCAAAATTCTGCCTCTATCTAAGGGCTAGGATTACAGGAATGAGCTAGCTTGTGTGGCCATGTCCTACTTTTATTTAAAAGGTAAAAACAGGAGAGAGAGCTAGAAATTAAAAGTAGCAAGAATGGCTGGGCATTGGTGGCACACGCCTTTAATCCCAGCACTCAAGAGGCAGAGGCGGGCAGATCTCTGTGAGTTCGAGGCCAGCCTGGTCTCCAGAGCAAGTGCCAGGGTAGGCTCCAAAGCTACACAGAGAAACCCTGTCTCGAAAAACAAACAAAAAAATAGTAGCAAGAATGAGTTAAAATAGTCACTCTAACGGGAATATAAAATGTCGTGAAATTAATTCCAGAGCTATAGGGCTTACTATGGTTAGTCAGGGTAATTCTTACTACCATAATCACTATATTAATTGAGACTTTCTTTATAGAGCCATGTATACATATATGATAGATCCTTACACAGTGATCAGTCCTTCACTAAGGACCTGGCTAGAGATCTTGAGATGAAGGTCTTTGTTCCTCCTGATGTCAAGAGCATCCAACTCAGCTATGTTCCTATCTTCCTAATGCTGCAACCCCTTTAATACAGTTCCTTGTGTTGTGGTGACCCCCAACCATAAAATTATTTTTGTTGCTACTTCATAACTTTAATTTTGTTACTGTTATTAATCATAATGTTTTTGGAGTTAGAGGTTTGCCATAGGGAGTGTAACCCACAGGTTAAGAACCTCTACAATAGAGAAACAGCATGTATTTTAAATTTGGCCACTATATTTAATTAATCAGAAACTAATTGGAGGCAAAAAATTAACCCCAGTAAGCCTGTTATATACTTACTGGGATTGATGAATTGATCTTTAATTAAACCAATAATAGAAAATCTTGTTAATGAGGCCTCCCTTTCCTTTCCCGTCATGACAACTGGCTCATCTTTAAACTGTAAAGTTTTTGAGAATAGACTTCATCTTGCTAACTTTTGCCTCCTGATCCTAGTAAGTGACTTTAGACTTAAATGGTCCTTCTAAGGGATAAGGACACCTGAGAGTACAAACTTGCCATTCCCTGGTTTTCCAGCTCTTTTGTGTGTGTCTTTTATTAACGAGTCTTCCTGAACTGAGTCAAAATGCATCTGATTAAAATCTTAGCGATACTTTCCTCTGTGTTGCCAGGGTCTGTATTCCAGTGTGATATGCCCAGGGGTAGTAATGACCAATATGACTTATGGAATTCTGCCTCCCTTTGTGTGGACCTTGCTCCTGCCGGTGATGTGGCTGGTAAGTGGTAAATACTTATTACTTTTTAAATTCAGGGTTATGATATATTAAGAGTTCAACTCTAAGTGGCAGACTTCTATTTGACTTGACATTTTTGATACGCTGTAATCATAAATGCAAATTTTCTTTCTTAAATCTAAGTGAAAAAAATTGACTTCCTGCTCTGAACAGCCACTTAATAACTATTGTTTTCTCTTGTCAGCTTCGCTTCTTTGCAAACGCTTTCACCATGACCCCGTACAATGGAGCAGAAGCACTGGTAGGTTACTGGAGTTTCATAGCCTAGAAAGTGACTTAGTGATGGAATGTGTAAGGTCACTGATGGCAGTGAGCAGTGTCAGGGTAAAGGGGTTGCGACTCAACTTCCGAGTCGCAACCCCTTTGGGATCTGATGACCCTTTCACAGGGGTCACATATCAGATATCCTGCATATCAGATGTTTACATTATGATTCATAACAGTAGCAAAATTGCAGTTAAGAAGTAGCAATGAAAAAAATTAATTGTTGGGGGGGTCACCACAATATGAGGAACTGTGTTAGGAAGGTTGAAAACCACTGTTATATGAGAACATGTTCTGTGGACAAGCAAGTTCCGTTTGGGACTAAGGTAGACATCATGTTACAAACAAGAGATATCAGAAGTTTGACATTTAGCATCTGCTGTGACATTGGGTACCATGGCTGTAGAAAACATACTTCTATAGAAGCAAGATGCACCAGGAGCTGCAGGAGAGGTAGTTAAGAACCCCAAGAGAGGTGGCTCCATGGTTAAGAGTTCTCTTTTTTGTAGATAACCTTGTTCTATCCTCAGCAACCACGTGGCAGTTCATAACTGTCTACCACTCCAGTTTCAGGAGGTCCAACACTGTTTCCTGACCTCCATATGGTACAGATAGATATACATGCAAACAAAACACTCATACACATAAATAAATCTAAAGAAAAAATGTAAAGATTCTTCTTCCTCTCTTGGCACTGGAGGATCAGGGATCAAGGTTGTGGCCAAGGGGAGTTTAGGATCTTTATTCTGTGCCTTCCACCAAAATAATGTCCTAGATAGCTGAAGAGATTTACACGTCAAAATTAAAATATGAAATTCTTAGAAGAAAATATGGGGGGTTTATGTGAAGTTTCAGAATGTGAAGGCTTATCCAAATGTGGAAATTTAAGAGTAAAAATCAAAGGAAAATTAGCACAGTCTCAAAGTCAGCTTCAAATAAAGGTAACGTGGAATACAAACAATATTTTCTTAGTAAATCAAGAATCCCAGCACAGGGAAGACAGGTGAAAGACAGATACAAAGAGTCTGAATGTTTTCAGTCATGGGAAAAGATGCTTTGTCACACTGATTCCGAGAGAAGTGCAAACTAGATCTATAATTCAGAGCTCAGCTCGGATTAGCAAAGTTTAGGACATTCGACCCAGAGCTAGGTACTCCTGCATTGCAGGACTTCTGCTGAGGACTCAGGATGAGTCAAGTATAAAAGGCACATACCTTTCACCCAGAACCTGGCATTGCTTTTATAGATGTACTTGTCATCCATCATGGTTTAGATTATAATCATAAAGACTGCAGTCTACTGCATGTATCTTTTAATTAAAAACTGAATATACACATTACAGCTCATGCCCAAGATGGGGTCCTGTACTTTCAAAAGCAAATGAAACAGCTCCGTATAGACAGATTTGAAAATTTGCAGGAATGGCATTCAAGGAAAAACTTTTGTGTGTTATGTTTCCATTTAAGAGAGAAGGATATGTGTTTCTAAATGAAGAGATATTTCTTGGCATGACCACACATGATAGAAGAGAGGATTACCCCCAGAGATGTTAGCTAAGTGGCTGTGAAATAGGAAAAGGAAGAAGACTTCCTTTTTATGCTGTGCACATCTCCTGGACATGTGTGTCTTCTGACTGGTAAAATAGCCCAGCGACGTGCTGTGCTGTGCTGTGTGCTAACAAGGACACTAAATAAGCCAGTGAGTGAGACATGAATTTATGTGGGAATTAAGGGAGAAGATGGGTGAAATGAGGGTTGTTTTGTTTTTTTGTTTTTTGCTTAGATTAGCTCTCAAAGTCTACTGTGAAGCAGGCTGCCTTAAATTCTCCCTTCGAAATATGACCGCCATTTCCAAACACATTTAGATTAGCTGGTGCTGTTTGAGAGGAATCTTATAATTTCACGGAGACCTCTGTAAAGTACCTGTGGCAAATGTCACTTGCTTGGGTCAGGAGCAATGTCACTGACATGCTTTTCCTTTCCAGGTGTGGCTTTTCCACCAGAAACCCGAGTCTCTCAATCCTCTGACCAAATACCTGAGCTCTACCACAGGCTTTGGGACGAATTATGTCAGGAGCCAAAAGGTAAGTCTGTGTTGTCATGTGGAAGACGCTGCCAGTCTGAGGCACTGGGTCCATGATGCTGACCAATCAGCCACACAGCTTCTGTGCTGAGTCTTCACTGGCATTGTCACGGTTCATGTCATTGCTTTCTGCTTCCTCCTGTCTCAGAGCTTTGGGCAAGTTCTTCCTGCTAAGCCACTCTTTCGTGTGTTCCTGTTGATGTCTGTTCATCCTTCAGGTCTCACCTTCTCAACCCTCTGTGTCTCTTTAGACGGGTGCCCTATGCCCTCATACCTATTCTCTGTAGCACTCACCCTCGGCTGCCCTGTCAGTGGATAAGCTCTGCGAGCAGGATTGTACCTGCATGCCTCCTATGCTGCCCACGTGGAGACTTTTAATAATACATCATGAGTTGTATGGAACATAGAGTGTCTTTCTATGTGACCTTAACATCTCTTGGAATGTGCATCTGTTAGGCAGATGTTTTGAAGAGACAGGGGGTAAAATAGGGAAAATCAGATCAGTATTTTATCTTTTAGAGTCTAATCTTTAAAAAAAATCATATAGAATTACAGTGTGGGAGAGTGAGAACATTTCCTTGGGACTACAAGCGCATGCTGCAGCTTTGTCACGGGCAAGGTGTAATATAGTCTCCTGCTTTTCTCTGCTCAGCTTTACTCAGGATGCATTGGTATAAAGTACAACTGGATTGAGGCAGTTAAGTGACCTCTGTCAGTTTGGCAGCAGCATGAGTCCAGTGACAGCCAGCCTTGTGTGTTGCTACCCATGTCACCTGCTAGGAAAAACCAGCCTTTCATCTTTTTGGAAACATGCTGTGTTGGATACTAGTCACTTGAGAACATTTTCAAGAGGTGGTTCCCCAGGCAGGTAGAGTTGAGGGATCCTTCGTCTTTCCCTTGCTGGGTTCTCCACAGCGTATTAGCCCAGGAATGGCTTCAGTTAAGTGGTGTAGAGGTGACATGGTTGATCGTTGATCTTGGTGTTTACAAATTGTTCTTTAGTGCATTTATTTGTTGTTGTTTTAAGACAGGATCTCACATGGAACTCTGTCTCACCTGGAACTCTGTCTTAGTTAGGGTTTCTGTTCTGTGATGAAACACTATGACAAAAGCAACTTGAGGAGGAAAGGTTTATTTAGGCATCTTCTACGTCACAGTCCATCATTGAGAAAAGACAGGGCAGGAACCTGGAGTCAGGCACTGAAGCAGAGGCCATGGAGGGGTGCTGCTTATTGGCTTGCTCCCGATGGCTTGCTCACTTTGCTTATGAAGATAGCACCCGGGACAGGACCATCATCCCAGGAATGACACTGCCCACTGTGGATGTGGTTCTTCCACATGGTTTATCAACCAAGAAAATGTAGCACAGGCTTGCTCATAGTCCAGTCTCGTGGGATCATTTTCCTCAATTGATGTTTCCTTTTCCAAAATGACTGTAGTTTGTGTCAAGATGACATAAAATTAGCCCACACTAACTGGCTATTTAACCAGGTTGGCCTGCAGTGGCTGGCCACAGGGATATGCCTACCTCTGCCTTCTGAGTTCTGGATTGAAGATAAGTACCACCATGCTCCATGTTCTGAGTTTTTTGTGTTTGTTTGTTTGCTTGTTTGTTTTAAAGCTCAAGTTTGAGTCAACTCATAAATCTTTAACATCTAAAATGATACATTTTGGGAAACTGTTGTAATTTAATAAGCTTACTTTAGGATTTCCAGAGTTTATTTAAATTATTTAAATTTGCTATCTTATAACCCTACAGGGAGTGATTTACTTATCAAGGAGAGAAAATGTTTAATTTTACAAACCCAGGCATTTTATAGAATTTTCTATGAAATGCATTGAAGAAGATATTTTAGATTCTGATTTATTTGGGGGAAATCTGCTTTCCCTCTACTAAAGGATAAGGGGAACTAGTGCTAGACCTTGGGGGAGGGAGTCATTGTCTTCAGTTGTGTGTCCACTGGTGAGCCCTCCGTGCTGCCCTGGACTCACCCATGTACGTGTGGACCACCTGGTTAAACCCAGTATGTCACAACACAGAGACAAAATCATGTGAAAGCAAGAAGGAGTGGGATGGGGTGGGGATGAGTGTAGTAAGAGTGCAGAATTGTCCAGGAACAAATTTAGTTTAAAAAACATAGGCAAGATTGGACAGGAGTGATCTGTAACGTTTCCAATTTCAAAATGAAGAGCAGAATTAAATGAGAATAATTATTATGTCCAAAAATGTTAATAAGTTTCCTTAATCTGTACCCTTTCAGTTTTAAGGAGATCCCATTTTGCTGACTTGGAAAAAAAGAGCCTAGTTGTAGGAGTCCACAGGTGGTTCTTATCATCAGTTAAAGAAAGTTTGTTTTTTTTGTTTTTTTTTTTTTTGCAGGAAGAACAAGAATGAAAATAGTAGTGACTTAAGACAGACTCCCCCATTTCTTCTATGCAGAAGCACTTTGGAAGGGGATGAACATCTGTAGGGAACCAGACTCTAGATTTCCTTTCTTCCCCTTTTCCTTTAGCAGTTGGTTGGGTACTAGAAAGCAGTAGGAAAAACACTAGCATTTCATGTCTTTGCAAGCAGCAGGAGGTTTGTTGAGTGCTGAGTTTATGTGGGTTTTAATGTCCTCAGTATTTCCCAGCAGGCCTGAATGACCTCTTCTGCCCCTTTCTAGCTTCTGGTTCTCTTACACAGATGGACTCCCTCTCTTTACTTTCATGCTGTTGTTATTTTTTGTTTTGTTTTGTTTTGTTTTCGAATCATCTCTATTTGTGCTTGTTTTCCAGATGGACATAGATGAAGACACTGCTGAGAAATTTTATCAAACCTTACTGGATCTGGAAAAGCGTGTTAGGATCACCATTGAAAAATCAGATCACCCGAGCTGATGGCGACTGTCTCCATAGCACCCAGCACCTGCTGTACGTCCGGGATGTGTGCCTGTCCATTGTGCCGGATGATGCCCATCTGTAGTAAACCATAAGCCGTGATGATCTCTGCTCCTCCCTTTCAGAACCATCTCCAAGACTGTGTGTGTGCACATGTGCAGGCATGCACATATGTGTGAGAAAGGATTGGCAAAATAGAGGAACTAAGTAAATACCCTGCATGAGTGTCCTTTTGGATTACTAGAGGCTTCCTGCAAAGCATCTCCATACATTCTGCCACCTGGAGCCCAGCAGATTAACTTGAGTGACTGGGTCACTTGAACCTCCTTTTAGTCCCAGCAAGGAGGGGCAGTGCCACTGAGAAGTAGTTCTAGCTTCTTTTCTTTCTTTTCTTTTCTTTTCTTTTCTTTTCTTTTCTTTTCTTTTCTTTTCTTTTCTTTTCTCTGTGATTGCTTTCCTATCCTCTGTGGTCTTCTTCATATGCTGCTCTGAATAATCTCACAGGATCGCCCATCCCAGCGGTCCCCACGTGATTATCCACACAGTCTCAGGAGCAAAATGCCAATGCGTTTGGGCCTCTTGCATTATTTCTTCTCTTTGAAAGCATTTGTGTTTTTACCAGGCAGTGGAGCCGAATCTCTAGTTAACATCTGTAGATGTGTTCGTAAGAAGAGCTTATCTTCATGATCATATTTCACTGGAATTAAAATTAAAGCAAAAATTATTCATGTTTTAATAAGATTAAAAAAACAAAACCAACAAGAAAACTGCTACTAGGCCATGTGCTGGCATCTGGTTAATAATGGAAGTAGAAAGAAATAGTTTTTAATGTGTCTGTTTATATGATAAATTTTTCAAACTTTTTTTCCATAAAACTTAAAAGAGCCACACCTAGCATCCTTTGCTATGAATCAGAATGCTAAAGATGGCTAGATATTTTTTCATAAATAAAGCCATCCTAATCACTTGGGATATAATAAAGTCAGTAAAAATTTTTAATAAAAATCCAAAAATACATAAATATCATTTCCCTACAGCTTGTGCTATGAAATTTTTCTGATTAGAGTTTCTCTAATTTTGTTGACCAAGATTTTTTTTGTAAAGATACCGATGAAAATGGGTGCACCATCCTCCCCCCATCTTTGGGAAATGAGGGTGGAGCTTAGCATGGGGCTGTTCTTTGTTCATTCTTTGTCCACTCAGAGCTCCCATTTGGAAAAGGCTCCTTCTCCACAGTGAGCTCACATTTATTATATAAGGAGAAACCTCTTTGCTCTGTTGCTCACTCATGGGTTAGCAGTGAGGAGGGAATCGATGGTCTATGTGGACCATGAACACCCTCATTTTTTAAAGAATGATGAAGTTCATTAGCAATCCATAACCCAGAGTGCCTGGGTCCGCTGTGCGTAAGGCACCAATTGACCATGGCCCTTCTGACAAACAGTCGGTTCTGTTCCCCCAGCATTTCCAGGAGACAGCATGGAGCACTGCAGGATGGAATGTGGGAGGACTATGGATCCTGGGTTGGGTAGACATAATCTAAACTGGCCTTGAATGAGAAGAAGAGCTTGGGTTTTGGTTATTTGTGAGATTGAGAAAAAGCATGTCCTTTTCCAGTGTTGTCAACTTACGAACATCACGTTATTCATAGAATTTCTTTTTGCTGGCTGCATTAGTAATTCCCTCTGTTTTATTCTTGAGTTAATATCTTTCCATTGTCAATAGTGCAGGAGGTTTTCCATTTTGCTGGTGTTTTCAGAGACCCATGTTTCTGCCTCACTGATCTTTTTTTTTTTTTTTTTTTTTTTTTTCCTTTTTTTTTTTTTTTTTTTTTCCCTTTTTTTTTTTTTTTTTTTTTTTTTTTTAATCCCTAGTTGCTTATATATTTTCCACAGAGGTCTTAGCTCTGCTTATTTTAATTATCTTTTTGCTCTCATTGGGTTAAAATAAACCATCTTTTCCAGTTTCTTCACATGAAGACTTAGGTTATTTATTTAGAAATTTTTCTTCATGGCTGGTGTAAGCATTTGATGATATAAATGTTCCTTTCAGCCTGGTTTAACTGCATCCCATTCTTGCTGACTTACTGCCTTGCTTTTATTTTCTTCTTTTTTAGGCCTAGATTGTTTTATTAATTTCTGTTGAGGTTTCCTTTTATGGATTATTAAAAGTGTTATTTAGTGTTTATATTTTTTTAGAGATTTAAAAGGTTGGTGTTTGACTGGGGAGATGGCTCAATGGTTGAGGGTACTGGTTGCTCTTCCTGAGGTCCCAGGTTCGATTCCCTGAACCACATGGTGGCTCACAAACATATGTAACTCATTTCAGGGGATCCAATGTCCTTCTTCTGTCCTCCATGTATACCAGACATGCATATGACACATAGGCATACCTGCAGACATACATGCATACACGTAAAAATACACAGTTCTTTTCAAAGTTGGTAGTCTGTTGGGATTTTCTAGTTTCATGTTGGTGTAGTCTGAATACTGAATCCTACTTCTGTATTAAAGTTTTGGGGTTTTATTTATGGCCCAGGGTCTTTTCTACCTAGAGTATCCTGTGGATCTTTCACACCATGCCTGCTCGCATTTCCTCTTTGGGACACTGGAGATTGCTCTTTGTACTTTGTACAGAGTGCATGGTTGCTTTTCTGGCAGGTGTGGTGTGGGAGGGCCACACAGCTCTATTGAAAACAGTCTTTCTCATCTTTCCATCAGCCTTCATTTCTGTTATAATTTCACTCTTCTATTTCTTTCTCATGTCCAGTTAGGTTTTCTTGTTCTATTTCTGGTTTTAGTTTCAAAATTTTGATTCATTTATTCTTAATTTATTTGTATTATTTATTTATTTTGCATGCTTGGGTGTATTGAGTTCAGGGCTATGGAGTCCATCTTCTCCCTTGAGGTTGATTCCCTGGGCGGGAAAGCTGCATATAGTTGTCAACTGGAGCTTTTTTTTTTTTTTTTTCATCTTGTTTTCTTTACTCTTCAGTGAGGTCTTTGATAGTTGAATTTAAAATTTCATCATGTCCCTTAGGTTTTATCATCCTTATCAACATTTTACAGAACAAAACAGAACATTTGTTTGAGGGCTGGAGAGAGCACTTAAGAGCTCTGACCACTACCAAAGGACCTGGGTTCAAGTCCCAACACACACACACACACACACACACACACACACACACACACACGGTGGCTCATGATCATCTGTAACTCAAGTTCCCGGGGACCCGGTGTTCTCTTCTGACCTCTGGACACCAGATGCACAAGTGGTGCACAAACATATATGTAGGCAAAACACTCGTACACATAAAAATAAACGTTAAAAAATCCCAAATTTAAAAATATTAATTTGGAGGGAAAAAGAATAAAATTGTGATAAAGCTAAAATCTGTGCACATCACCAAATGCTTTCCTTCTTACCCTAAAAGACTCCTGATAGACATCTAGAAGCAGGCTCCTGCCCAGTTTCCTCTTCCTGCTCCTCTCCAGGCTAACCTGGAATGCAACCTCCCATCCTACCCAGAGGATCCTAAGCACATTTGAAGCCTCAACTCTGAGAGACATATACCAGGGTTGGACTACTTTTATTTTCCTTGTATTGATACAGGGTGCTTTAAAAATTACCTATTTGCCTCAAGCTATGTGTTTATATCTTACCATTTCCTGTTTGATTTTCAACCTTTGATTATGAGAGGTGTTATCTATTTAATAAAGAATGAAGCTCTTGTCTATAAATCATTTATTTATCTAATTTGTACTCGTTTCTCTCGTTTATTGTCCTTCGACATACCAAAGGATCAGCTCCAAGACCTTCTGTTGTTACTCATAGTTGTATTTCTAGCTTTCAGTCAATGGCTGGCATTTACTAGGCTCTTGATAAATACATGAACAGTTGATTGAACAAGTGTTGATTTGAATCAAAATATGCTATGTTGCTTTTATGGTTAGTTGATTTTTTATTATGCCAAAATTTTAAAAAACCTATAATTTATCTTAATTTGGAATAATATAATACCAAGCTAGAGTTTACTGAGGCTCTGTTATTTTCTAATTTTAGTACATTATGTTATACTAATAAACATGCATCCTTCTTATTATGTCCTGTACTTGCAAGTTAATGCTTGAAGAACAACTTGACAGCGTTTATCACAAGTTAAAGTGCATGTGCCTTTAGCAATTCAGCATCTCTAAATTTATCCTCGAGATATAACTCAAATATATACAAGGTGTCAGGGTTACTGTCACCTATTGGAAACTCTTGGAGCTAAGTATGCCTCAAAAATTAAAATTGCTTGTACTTTGGAAGGATAAATTGGTGCACACAATACAGTATGTTTTAAAACAGCCCTAGAGGGAGTTGGGATTACAACCTATAATCAAAGCCAGTTGTATGTCAGCGGAAAAAGATGCATGAATTCACATTAAAGCAGTATCAAAACTATAAATAGCTCACACCAGCTCAGCTAGAGTTTAGCTGCCAACGGAGTTTGCCAAACATGTGAAAGATGCCCCACGTTCTAAGCTGTTTGGCCTTCGGAATTGCAGGTGAGGGATTTTAGACCCACAAAACACTGTTCACTGCAGCATCTTTGTCCAGTCATAGCAGGAGAACACAAAGAACTTAAGCGTGTTTATCTAGTCGTTAGGGTGCTGGACAAAGAATGATGTCATTTCTATAAAATACACTAAAAGTAATAGTATAAATAATCTTTGAAAAGGGGATGAGGTAGGTCTGTATGGATTGTGGGTTAAATGAATAAAACCAGATGCTGTAGAAGTCAGGGAGGTCTTTGTGTGCCCACAGATAAGCACTAGGGGAAGCTGGAATGTTGAGCACACAGGGTTGTTCCCCCAAAGGGAGGGATGCATAACTTGTTAACCCCCAGAAGGCTGGGAGTGAAGCTGGTGACTGTGGTGGGACCACACTGGATCTCCCCCAGAGTCTTATCATTCGCTTGTTTTTCTCGGCTAATCTACTGAACCTGTCTTTATGGAAAGTGTCACATGTACTTGACCAAGATTTTTGATATAGTGACATCGAATCTTTAGCTTACTTTTTTCCTCATTACTTGCATGCCCTTTATTGTGCACACAGGGTTGAGTTGTTTATGACCTGGCAGGAAGGTTTTCAACAAATTGTGTTGTGTTTAAATGTGCTTAAAATAAACTACTCAGGGTCAGAAAAAAAACAACAGAGGCAAGGGAAGACTGTTTTCATAGCTACCTGCTCAGTGTAAAGGCCAAAAAATAAAAATAAAAAGCAAAAGATATGTGATATGGAACATGAGTTAATCGTGACAGTTTCCAGATTTTATATTCAAAGTGAAGAGGAAGACCAAGGGGAGCCAATTTAGAGACAGACTGGTCACTCCAAAACAGAGCCACTCCTGATACTGGAGCTGTAAGTGGTGGTGGGGCTTGTGGAATAGTCCGGGACCAGTGGCAAGTTCCTGGGGAATGTCTTAGCTGTCAGAGGTTACCCTTACCCTTTGGCCTCTGGGTCAGACCATCTGAGGGTGCCTGCAGGATTAGGATCCAGGCTACAGGTCCACAGGGCCTGAGTGAGGTACTACCGGAGGGGTGGCTGAGCTGTGGATAAGGTATTGGGGTTTTATCTGAGCCATAATTGTCCAGGAAGCATGGAGACTTTTAATATATGTTTGCTACTTTTTACATTGCATTGGCCAATATCAGAAAGAAGCAACTTGGGTGAGGAAGGATCTGCTTTGGCTAATGATTTGAGGGGATGCAGTCCACCATGCCGGGGAGGAAGGGGAGGGGCTGGCGGCACTGTGTTAGAGACCATGGACAGATCAGGAAGCAGAGAGGAGGATTCGGGTACTCGGAAGGCTTTCTACTTCCTCCTCATTTATTCAGTCTAGGACCCCAGCCCATAGGTTGGTGCCATCCGTGGTGGTTTGAAAGAAAATGCACCCCCATAGGGAGTGGCACTGTTAGGAGGTGTGGCTTTGTTATAGTAGGTAGAGTCTTGTTGGAGGAAGTGCGTCACTGCGGAGACGGGCTTTAAGGTTTCACATATGCTCAACCCCAGTGTCTCAGTTCACTTCCTGTTGCCTGTGTAAGACGTAGATAGAATTCTCCAGCTCCATGTCTGCCTGCAGGCCACCATACTCTCAGCCACCATGCTCTCTGCCATTATGATAATGGACTAAACTTCTGAACTGTGAGCTGCCACTTCAATTAAAGTCGTCCTTTGTAAGAGTTGCCATGGTCATGGTGTCTCTTCACAGCAGCAGAAGCCCTAACCAAGACACCGTCTATATTCAAAGTGGAGCTTCCCCTTGAATTAAATCTCTCTGGAAAAGCCCAATTAGCACACCCAAGTGTGTCTCATTGATGCCTAGAGGCTTCAGCTAATCAAGTTAGTGGTGGAAATTAACCTTTGAGGTAAGAATGAAGTCTGGGTAGGATGTTCTTTCTGAAGAGTTTGCTGATGAAGAGTGAAACTAGAGAATTCCTATTGAGGGCTTACATTATTGGTACTTGTCAGGGTTCCTAGAAGCAGAATATTAGACTTAAACAACTCAGATGTCCCTTCCAGAAGGTTTTTACCCTGAACTAAACTCACAGCAGACTTGACCCTCGGTTCAGTTACTTTTCATCTAATACTGGCTTACATGACCATGAGTCTTCATTCATAATTTCCTCAACTAGGTTGATTCTAAAAATAAGATGGAAATGCAGCTTTCTCAGCTCTCCGGAGCATTCCCTGAGATAAGGCTTTTGAGAGGTGAATCCTGGATTGATATTTATGAAATCCTGACCACAGCATCTGGCACATGGTATCCATGGTTATGTGCTCAGTGTGTATTAAAGTAAATTAAAAATTAATAAATAATGAGTTTCCAAGGGCTGTGCTATTGAGTCCAAGGTGAATCACCCAAGCCTCTCCAGAGGTCATGAAATTTTTGCTACCTTCCTGGATGCACTGCTGAGCAGGCGCATG